TAGCACATTGTTATTTTGAAAAGATGAAAGTGTAGTTTATTGCTTTTATACCTTCCACTTATATCCCATTATTTCTATGTTAAATTGTCAGGAACCAAACAACAGCAACAGGGCGAAGCAATATGTAAACAGTGCCAAAGTGTTGTAATAGTGATAACAAGGACAAGAGTCTAAGGCAGCATGATTCATCACTTAGAAAGTCAAATATAGACACTTGAGTCAACAATATAACCTATGGCCTGTTACAGTGATCATTGAGAGCTTATCTTCTAAACCGCCTGAGAAAAGCTGATATTTGTTTGCATGCCGAATGTTGAGACTGCAAACTGCAAGGGTCGTATTTCTATACAAACACCCTCGGGTACACTTCCACAGGACTGTATCTGTTCTTGTGCGTGCTTTTAGCCCACATGTACTTTTAAATTAATGTCAAGCACCTTAACTTATGACATTTCTTTTTAATTCTGCCATGTAGCTGTTGGTAATGCAAATGCAGACCAACATGCAAAGATTTTGCACATTTTCTATTAAAGCAATTTGGTTGTGTGCCCATGAAGGGTCTTCTCATTGACCCTCTTTGATCATCCTTACAGAAATGAAATTAAACTAGTTATTAGACTATGGTTCACTATGGGAGAAGGCAGGCACACTTTCAGGAGGATAGTGTTGTGATGACATTCAATTTGCCAACACACTCTCACTCCATAATCGTCCAGGAGCGACGTTTGGTCAGGGTCCCGTGGCGTGCAGTTGTGTCGCTCCTAGGCTCCTTCAGCGTCATAAAGGGACGCAAATAGCTTTCAACTGATTGCAATGTATTCCCATCTGCGGCGGGATTTGACGCTCATGGAAGCACGGCATTCGTTTGTGTCGGCTGACCTTAAAGGCAATGTGAGCGTCCATTCCCATTGGATAACGGAGAATTGTACACCCGGAAGTAAGTATTCCCCTTACTGTCGATTGATTTTACAGTGATATCTGCACTACTCATCGACTAAAAAACACCAGATTATCCTTGTTAATTACACAACATTGATTGGTTTAAATTGTGTGCAACGCTTTTGTATTTTTCCCCTTCGATTCGGAGAAACAAATATTTTTTCGGAGTAAAGGATGGCAGAAGACACTATACTACCCAGAATCCCCAGCTATCGTTTAGGACTACACCATGGCATGTGCTCTGTTTGACAAACCCCTTTTTTTTTTCACCATTCATTCCAATGGCTGGCGTCTATGTCACGTGATCTTACAATTTCTCCCTGCAGAAGAAAAAAAACACGGCCGAACTTCGTTTTATTCTCGGTGGAAAATGCCTATTTTAAAGTTAGTTTGGCCATTAAAATGCGTTTTGATGTCATTTGATGCGAGAAATATGAGTTGTTATCTCAGATTATGTGTGCAGTGGATGTACATGATCTTTAGTTTGCTAGTTATTACGAAGATTACTTCAGGAAATTACGTCCATAGAACGTTTTCATTGTTACCAAGGTGGTTGCTAGGGACGCTGCTATCGATATTATTTCTGTTGTGTAACTGTTTAATGGTGTTATCTTTATTGCTACCCCCTTCCCCGTCAATGTATAGTGTTGGTCCACAGCGAAAACATATTAGTTTAACAAAATCCGCATCTAAAGATACGTTATTTTCCCCTGTGCAATTCCAGTCTCACATCTCACAGTCATGAACAAATACCGGAAACAGACCGAAAACATTTAAAAAAAATTATAATAATAATTTATTCCGAGTGTGCTTGCTTTTCTCTTTGAAAGGCATCACATAACGGCATTGTAATACACGGTTCGGCTGCATTAAATATTACATATCTGCCGTAGTTCCCTGATGAGAAGACTTCTAGACAAACTGAAAACGTGACATGGATCATAAATATATCAGCAATTAAACAACATCTAATATTTATTTTCACACAATACGTCTCCTTGCAGTATCAACACTAATTCGGCTGACTTTTATATTTGATCCAATTGGTAGATGGCTGTATGGTAGGTGCACAGCTGATATAAAGGGACACCTAGTGGTTAAAGCATGTTATTGAAATGTATTATTTTTATTATTAAATATTAATAGGATCCCTATAAAGTATATTCATTACTCGTTATTCTCTACTAATAGATAATTAAATACTGTATATAATGACTATTTTGCACATCCCTTTCAAGATTTCAAGATTTTCTAAGGTTTATTGACATCATATTCACAAACGGTGTAGTTATGCATTGAATGAAACACTTGGGTCGCAGGTTCCTCAATAGTGCATTACAAGACATCTATCAATATTTGTGCATACCTCCAGCAATGTTAACTATGTTGAAGCACTTATTTTAACTGATATTATACATGTATTATACTCTTATAAGATGTATGTAGATATTTCATCTCCGGCCTTGTCAGGTATTGAACAATCAATAAATAAAGAACACAGAATTGTTAAATATAAAACACAGAATTTGTGTGATTATACTAAATGATTTACAAATAAACACCACTGCATATTTACAACTGTTACACATGCTGATGTAACGCAAATGTTTCCAGCTTGGGATCAATAAAGTATATCTTATCTTACGATGATCGATGGCTACTGCCATATTTGCAAAATTTGCCTCTGAACCTTGACAAGTGCATGTTTCAGGCTTATAATGTAATGTAATGTTATCAATTAACAACAGGAGGGGTCACAAACATAAGACCAGCTCTTCTGACCTTAGCTGGCATGTGTGTATATATATTAATGCTGCCCATTATGGGCACAAGCAATTTTCACCCATTTATTAATTATATGTTTTACATTTGAGTGTTTCCTATCCCCTAAACCTCCAGGGATGTACACAGTTTAATACTGGCAACTTCTTATTATGGGAAATACGAAAACGTCTTTTAAAACTACAACTCCCAGTAGAGACGTGCCATAGATAGAAAACATGTTGCGAAACACAATAGCCAGCATGTGTAGTTCTGGGGACGAGGTGGGGGAGGGGGGGACGCGGTGGACCCGTTGAAATCCAGTTTTGGACAGTCTGCCGTGGTTCCATCCCATTTCAAGTGCTGTTCGAGGCTCAGCGTAACCCTCGGAGCACACTCTCCAATCACAGAGCTTGAGGACTATCACAGGGTTTGTCAAGCGAAGCGGAGAGAATACTTACTTCCCGGTGTAATATTCTCTAAAGCAAATGAGCTGCTCCGACCCTCGGTCCTGACGGACTCCAACTTGTGTTTATTAATCAAACAAATAAATAAACACAAGGATAATTATGTGTTATTGTTGAGTAAATGGAGAATTGCACAGGGGAAAATAACGTAGGCTATCTATGCCACAATTTTAGATGCGGATTTTGTTAAACTAATACGTTTGCGCTGTGGACCAACACTATACATTGACGGGGAAGGGGGTAATAAAGATAACACCATTAAACAGTTACACAACATAACAGAAATAATATCGATAGCAGCGTCCCTAGCAACAAGTAACAAGTAGTTAATAATAATAAAAGAAAAAGGTATTATAAACAGTCATTAAAAAGCAACACAATCTACCTGCATTGCATTACTCTAAACGTGTAATGACGTGCTTTAACCAGTAGGTGGTTTGGGTTAAAAAGCTGTCAAGTTTACAGTGTTAACTAAATAAAATATACTGCTGTTTCTGGTTTAGTTTACGACGGATATATTTAGTTATTGTTTTGATATTTGTAACACAAAAGCGATGGAAAAAACCGACAGCAACACAGAAAAGATGGTCTTAACATGACCCAGCGGTCTAGTAGTTAATAAAAAACAATAATATCAAAACAAAATATTACTACTAACTTTATTGTGAAATTCAAACTGAACGGTAAAAGAATAGTTTCCGTTCTATTATGTGCCCGATATCTGTAGATAAATAAAAATAAAGAACTACGACAGATGTGTAATATATTTAATGCAGCCGAACCATTTATTACAATGCATTCATGTGATGACTTTCAAAGAGTAAAGCAAGCACTGCTGAATAAAGTATGATTTGATCTTTTACGAAACGTTTTTTTTTCATATGGAATGCAGTTGGAGGTTGGGTGTACAATTCTCCATTATCCAATGGGAATAGACGCTCACATTGCCTTTAAGGGCAGCCGACACAAACAAATGCCGTGCTTCCATGAGCGTCAAATCCCGCCGCAGATGGGAATACATTGCAATCAGTTGAAAGCTATTTGCGTCCCTTTATGAAGCTGAAGGAGCGAGCGTCACAACTGCACGCCACGGGACCCTGACCAAACGTCGCTCCTGGACGATTATGGAGTGAGAATGTGTTGAATTTGCAAGGGTAGCCGACCAAAAAACCTAAAACTGCCAACTATTTTTGTAAATAGCATACATACATACATTCATTCCATGTAATTTATGCAGTTTTTTTTCCAGGCACTCAAATGTTTCCTTATTTTCTTTGTTTAATATCATATCTACTCACTCACAGAACAATATATTTATGGATATTTCCTTAGAACTTGTAAGAAAATGCATGGACATTTCACTATGTTCAGGCATTTTAAAGATATTAAAGATTATTTGAAACAGTTGTGAAAGTAATCCTTAGTTGCAGCCCTAGATGATATAACCATGTTATAGTTTCATAGTTTTCAACGGTGGTGTCCAAATGAGTGAGTCAGAGATACATTTGCTTAATAGTTTGCAATAACGGAAAGAGTTATGAGGTTTTGTAACATGTGTTCCCACACAAGTGATCTCAGCAATATTGCCATCCCTTTAATAAAACAGCCTAAACGTTAACATGTCTTTACTTGCTGTGACTGTTGCTCCTACTCTCCAAAAGGGAACACACTGTCTTTGTGGGTCAGCAACTCACAAACACTTTCCATTATGCTCCTCTCTTGGTATATAATGGTCTGCAACGTAAAGTATATCACATGTGTCACACGCTAAATGACCTAACACTGCACTCCAACATGGAGAGATACTTAAAATACAAAAAAGTGACAACTTACCGACATTATGGTGAAGTTGCTGAGCGCAGTTATGGACTCCAGTTACCCATCCCAGACGACTCACAGCCCGGGGACAGTTGTTGCTCGTGTGCGGTCAAGTATGAGCAATTTCTGGAATGCACCACAACCAGAGCAGCAGCAAGGGACCAAGCAACTCAGTGCAGCGGAATAATATATACAGCAACTAGCCCGAGTTCAGACAATAATTGATGTCTGATGGGTAATGGAGTTTCTCAGAATTCGGACTCAAATGGCGATAGAAATAAATGTAAAATAAAGACTCATGCCATTAAAGTATCCCGAGACTAAAATACTATCGTAAACATCGACCACGTTGGATATAAATGGCAATTAATTGCACCTTAATCGCTGTTTAGCTAGCATTAGACGAAGAATGGGAGGAGCAGATGAACATATTTGGGATGCCACGCATGCGCATTTCGTGTTTTCCATACTGGGATCATGTGATTGGCGGAGGTAGCCGAAGCCATTCGTAGCCTTTCGTCTACTCTCATTGTAACTTGTACTATAAAAGCTAAAACTGGTCTGTCTGTTTAATACAAAATGAAAATGCATGATGTTAGGGAATAGGGATCATTATATTTATTTTGGTCACTATTGTAACTGCCTTTTGGTACACATGCAGATTATAGGACAACAGAGAACATGTCACAGGATTCGTGCAGTTGGACGCATATTTTAATACAAAAGAGCAGCTCTTATTTAATAAAGCTTTATTGCCTTGTTTGTTAAATTAGTTTTGGAATAATCCCAATTACAGAACCACAGAGCTCACTTTGTCCACACAAAACAAACTACAAATACTTCATATATTTTTATTGTTATACTTCACAGTACAACGTTGATTCTGCACTGCATGTCGACATTTTACATTAACTGATTGAGGTGCTACTATTAATATCTGCATACACACCTGTAAACAGTTTAACAAGTAGAAAAATACAAAACCAGACACCGCTCATCAATATGTGAGGGGGGGAAAGAAAAAACAAACACAGAACAAGTTGGGCATCATAAAGCTATAGTACCTTTTGGTGGCGAAGAATTAAACAGAATCAGGATCGATAAAGGCAGCGCGAGAGTTGCTGCTGCTGTTGTCTTTGAGATGAGAGGAGTTGCAGTCATTTTTAAAAACAAGAGGTCTAAGCTCAGACGTGCTGGCTGTTTTTTATAAGCTACATTTGTGTACATAAAGAGAACTGATGGAGACAAAACAGGAAGAGTTCTCAAGCACATCCTGCGGTCCTCCACGAAAGACAAGAAGAAGAAAGTCCGGCACAAGCTCCTGTAAGAGGTGGCGGGAGTCCAGTTGGTTTAAGGCATGCATTTACATTAATGTAGAGCCTGCTTTTATAACAGTTACAGCAGTCTTTTGTGCTGATATGTAAAAACACAATCAATGTTAAAATGATCCGCAGTCAGGGTCCAACGTTAGCACTTTCATTTCTTTTTCATAATTCACAGAATGGACTTGGTAAAGTACACATTAAAAGTCACAGATATTCAGGACAGTAGTTGTGCTTGTGATTTTCTGTTGTATTAGTTTCCCACAGGAAGGTGACACTGAAAATGTGCTGATGCTTAGTAGGGGGATGATAATTTTCAAATTATTATATGCATATAAATAAGTATAGGTTCTGCAAAATCAGATATTAAATGAATTGTGTTCCCCTGTTATGGATCAAACTCTTTGTATGTGCAAAACAAAACACCTGTAATTAAAATTAAATTAAAGTTTTTAAAATGTGTGAAGTGATAACATTATCACCCTGCATTGTACACAGGCAAATAAAAAGTGTCTCTAACAGATACAGGTGGTAAAACCACAAATACATTTGAAAATGTAAGTTTAATTGAAAACAGACTGTAGCCATAAAAGTTATTTTTGTACACATGTATACAGTAGATTTGCACTTGGAAATCTGTAAAAAGTGCTGTTTTGTGCACATCTGCACAAACTGACATTTTGGAGGATTTTCATCTCACACAAGTAACACTAAAAAGAAAGTTAAGGCAACAAACATGAGAAAAAACAACATAAAATCTCATTCACACCAAGACGAAAACGATGATGCTACACTTGCATCACATCTAAAAAAAACTCAAATCTCGATTTTTCCACTTTCACACAAAGAAAAGGATGTAGATGTACACAGCCGACTGACTTCAGTTGTGGCATCACAGGAGCAAGGACCTTAGTGGAGATTTTCTCTATGCATGGCTGATTGTTTGGCTCAAGTTTCAGTATGGCAACTATACCAGAGATGACCACAAGAGGGCAGACAAACACTGTGGCCTCATGTCCAGCTGCAGGAGAAACGAGCCTCATCTGCAGAGACACTGTCCTCAGAATACAAAACTGAAGTCAAAGCAAAACCTCTCAGTTATATGACTCAACGCATGGTGGTGTTTGAGAGATGATATATGTCTTTGAACTAATCTAAAAGCTATTTTTTAAAATGATTATAATATATAATAATAATAATCATATGTATTACTAACTGTGTTTCAAGTTACACAGAGAGGTTTTGCTGAGACATTAACGCCCCTATCTGTAGGATTCAAACTATGACTGGCAAATTCTAGTGGCATAATATTAAAAAAGACACTGCAGCAGACAGTAGTGCATGCTGCTACAGAAAACATAGACCGATTTTGGAAAGTGGTGTCTCATATTTCCTCAAACAAAGACCATCAGAATAATTTAAGCAGGGGTTTAACTAATCCAACTAGACAAACACGGTGAAAATGTCCTCTCAATGTCCAGCATGACGACAGCTCTGCCCTGGTGAAGATGAGGACAACTGAGTTACAAACGGACAGCGGTGGACCACTATAACAAGTGCACAGTTAAAACAAGACAAAAAAAGGCCAAACCCGAGCCTTCAGTAGGCAGAGATCATTTTCAAGGCATCACAGATGCGAAAGTTAGTTGAGAAAACAAAAACAGATTTGACTCCGCCCCTAAAAGAAACATGTCCAATCACTGAATATTCTAAATGATGATCCAAAATACTTCTTGTAGGCACAGTGATGTTCACCCGCTCTAACTGACACTACCTGATGAGACAAGAATTGAAATTAAAACTTATATCATATAAGATTTTATCCCTTTTTTTTTTCTTATTCGAGGACAAAGAAATATTCTCAGGAGTGGAGTTATCGTCCGTCCTCTCTAACCCGACGTGTCTCTGTCCCGATTTTTCGAGAGGCGAATGGAAACAGGTGTGGGGGGTGCGTGGCCATGATGCTCCATCACCTTCTTTTACTGTATACTGTTGAAAGTGGAGTTGGCGCTACTACAGCTTTCCTCATAGGTGGGTGGGGGCTCTGTAACACACACGGGCAACACAAATAAGAAGTCATTAATAAAGTTAGAGCAGCGCACATTCTCCTAGTCTCTGTTCCAATAATAACCCTATTAAGTTGTTGCATTTTTCATATAGGATTTATTTTATTTGTTTATTTGAAACGCTTAAGCATTTTCCACAGAATTTCCTGCCATATTCTATACTAACTGTACTAAATGCTACATTCACTTTCATTTTGGCTTGACATCACCTTGGATTTTGAGAAACTGGGATGGTCCTTTTTGCATCTGCTTCACTTTGCATGTGTTTGTCTGTGTGCCAGAGTGAAAGTCTTTTAGAAGAACTCACCATGAGGGTAGTCGCAGCTGCTGTACTCTGGAGGGAGGATGAGCGAGCAGGAGGTGGGGATAGGAGTCACGTTTCCCTCGGTGAAGAAAGGTATGGTGGCCCCGGTGGACACACAGAACAGAGGGGCGGAGGCGTCGGGCCTGAGGCCGGGAGGCAGCGCTACCCCGGGGGCTTGGCTGAAGGCGCTGGGGGACATGGTGACCGGCTGCCCCGAGGGGTCCTGCTGAGAGTGACTCTTGGTGGGGAGCTCCTCACTGCCCACGCCCCCTGCACACATCCCCTCCTCTAGCTCCTCCACCGGTGGGGCGCTGGGGGTCACGCCCGCCGCGCTGGGAGCAATGCGGTGGTCCGGAGTGGGGGGCATGGGTCTCGATGGAGACAAGTTCACAGCGATGTTCCCGATGTAGATAGGCAGCGTGACCACTGCGTCCGGAGATTTGAGCGACACCTGTATAAAACAGGAATTATAAAAGCCTCAATTAGATAAACTATACCACCAGATAAGATTGGTGATATTCTATATGCCTCTTATTGCCAATAAATCGCATGAGATCACCAAAACCAACAGAGAATTGATTCTGCTAACACAAGGTGTGTTTGTAGCTAAAGTGGGATAGACAGTTTCTTCTTCCTCTGAGCCATAGAGCTCCATTGTTGACCTTACACTAATAGAAACACTTCAGTGAGCCACACTGTTGCTCTGGGTGACATGTTCCTTTATTACCATGAACACACACACTGTTGTTTATTGTTACTCAGCCCCACATGCAGTCCTCCAGCTGTAAATACTCACTACATCCTCAAATGAGTATGGATCCGCTGCTGAAAGTAGTCCCCATCAAGACCAATATTTACAGCTTTTTAATGACATTTGAAAACAATAACCTCAGGCTATGGAAGTTGGGAGTTTTGAGAGATTAAGTCATGCATTGTTGGGTTTTTGATGGGATATTAGGACAATAAGAAAATAGTGAATAACACCTTTCTAGTAAACCCAATTATTTCAGTATTAGTAAGTAAATATCAAAATCCCTACACAGTTGTTCAAGTTAAATTATAAAGGAACAAATAATAGTCTTTGATAGCTCATGTGGCTAAATGTATGCATAGTTTCATATGGTATTATCTGAATTATATTATCACATGTTTGATGGCGTTAGAAACAGGAATATTGACACTCTTAAGAACAGTACTGTGAAAATAAAGCACATTCTATATTTTAAAGACACACACACTGACCTGAATGAAGTAGTCGATGTGTATGAGGCTGCAGCCGGCCAGTGCTGACTGAGGAAGAGGAGGGACGATGATCTGCTCTCTCCACTCCGCGTGTTTTCCTGCTTTCACTCCGGCTCCCTCCACCTCTGCGATGGTCCGCAGGTCGACCACAGGCCGCTTGGTCTTATAGGTCACTTTCTGGTGTGGAAAAAAGCCATACACAGACACAATAGATGTGATAATGACCTCACTCAAACTTCTATAACTCTCATCTTGAGGTATAGAGACATTGTATGTGGTCCCCTATGAAAGGATTAGTTATATTAAGGGTTATTTTTTAAGCTTCGGAGTCCCAGCAGAGATTTCTAATACATATCTGAAATAGACATTTCCAGGGGGCGGTGCACACTGGCTGTGATCGTAATGGTATTAAGGATAGGGCAAATACTAGGAAGACACATCAATTTCTCTTGTTTCCTCATGTATTCTGCCATCTGTGCACCTGGTTAGAACTGAAGTCATGAGAGGCATTTGAGACTTTAAATAAAAATGGGTAAAATGTTGTATTTATAAGTTGGTTATATTTTTTTATTGGGATGCCAGGTGAACATATTTTTTGTTACACAATATATGCACCTTGTTTAGAGTGCAGTGGGAGAGTAAAACTCACCTGGAAGAAAAAAAATGCAATGCTTTTAATTAGTGCTGTCAAAATTATCGCGTTAACGGCGGTAATACATTTTTTGAATTAATTGCGTTAAAATATTTAACGCATTTAACGCATGTGCAGAATGGCCCACCCCATACGTGCCACCAGTAGCAGCGCCAGGGTATGGCTGGGGTAGGCTACACCCATACCAAGAAATGGCTTAGCCCCACCATGAAAAATGATGTTAAAGTAAGCAAAATAAAGTCTGCCAACTCGCGCGGAGTAAATTGCACAGACAGCAGTTAGTAAGATTGATTTCAGTAGCCACGGTTTTGAAAACTTTTGTGACGTAGTGATCGTCTTCTCAATAGAACATCTTTGATAACGGCGTGGAGTTGTTGCAGGAAGTCCCGACGGAGAATACGTTTGCTGTAGTACAGGGGTGCACATAACTGGTACGCAGGTTATGTGCGTAATCTGAAATGCGTACCGTCACTTGTGTCACAAAGCGCATTTGCGTACCGACGTACTTGTGAAGCTTTTCCAGAAGGCGGTTAGATCACCGGACGACAGAGTCGGTCTCCGTGTGCACAGACAAAGCTGCTGTTAACGTCGGTCTGTACAACGGAATTGTGCCAAAACTACGCCAACCGGCTGCGGAGGGAGACTCCCCCCTTCACTGGAGAACTGCGCTAAAACAGCTGATCACAACGTTCACACTCTGTGGTCACGAAGTACTCCACGAGCCGCCGCCCCCCTCCTCTGTCGACTTTCCTGAAGTACTCCCCCGTTGATAGAAATCAACACGTAATGAATTGATAGGTGTGTGGGTTGTCTTTCATTTTGACACGCAGAAAATGTTATAATAAACATAGATACTGTATGTTAAATGGATATATCCGCCTTCTTTCCATTCCCACAACAATATACATAAATAAATGGCATATTTTGGAAAATAGTTCGAATGGTGATTAATCATGATTAATTAATTTTTAAACTGTGATTAATCTGATTAAAATTGTAATCGTTTGACAGCCCTACTTTTAATCTAATTTAGAACATGGGTTAGTGATGCACTTTAGCCCCTTGTGGACATAATTAGTATTACAACAACAAACACACAATTGTCTTCAGACCACTTCCCTTTCACCTTTTTTAAAACCTTAAACACAGTAGTGAAAACTGATATGGATTATGGACAGTGGCGAACCGTCAGGGCCTTCAAGGTATTCAGAAAATACCCTGGAACACTCAGATAAAACAAACACAAACAAAAAATCGATTATATAAATAAAATGTATATTAAATGAGAATCATATCTGTGTTGTTGATCTGTAGTATTACAGTGTTACGTTGATTTGTTTGTCCTTCTCGGACCATGCACTACGCATTTCAATGGTTTTGTGTTAGAAAAGAAAGCAACCAATCAGATCTTGTTCTGGGTCTCTGGGTAGAATATCCGGCGGGGGGTGTGTGTGTCTACAGAAGGTCCAGTTGTGATAGACACGGTTCGCCACTGATTATGGATAACCACTTCCATGCCTCCAGAGCTTCCATAGTTCTGTACTCAATACCTGAGGATATAATATTCATTCATTCATAAAATAACATATTCATATTCATTTAATCAGTAATCTACCTGTATGAGACTGGCCAGCACATAGCCCGTGTCCTTCCCAGACTTGTTGTGGATCTCGGTGGCTAACTTGATGACCTGCCCGGGGATGTAACCTCTCAGGTCACTGCGAGCTTTCAGCATCAGGGTCCCTGTCTTCACCAGGAGGTAGCTGAACTTCTTGGTGGTCACAGCGTAACTCGGATGCTGCAGAGACAGTTTGTTTTTAGTGTTATTATGAAGACTTAGCTGATCATCGTTTCCTGCTTAGCTCCAGAGTATCGGGAAACTCTGTCAGTCGCGACAGGAGAAAAGGGGAATGATAAGAGTAAGGAATGTAGGAGGAGAAGAGGAGAAAATAAATGAGATCCTGCTCGGCCATGAAATCAAATAAGCCTCCACCTAGACACACGCTGATCAAATAGAGAGTGCATTTCAAAGTCCTTTCTTCTCCTTCTGTTTCTGGATTATATCCACAAAGAAAACAGAACGGCATCATTCCAGTTTTTATAGGAATACATTTAGATAATAGATGATTCAAAAGTAGGGACATTTGTGTACTTACTTCAATTTCAGGCACCTCATTGAGGTTGAGCAGGTTGAGAAGGTAGAAGGCTTTCTGGGCTTTGTAGTCCTTAGAGAAGCGTGGTGTGTCGATAGCCACTCTCACTCGGTAGGTAATCTTCCCAAAGGGTCCCTCAAAGGAAGTGGGGGCAGCGACTAAAGAGAGAGGCAATTAGATAATGCAGGGGTTACTTTTACACTGAGGGCAGTCCAAACACTTTGTTTATTATTAAAAGGTTAAATTAGGAGAGTGTTTCCCAGCTTCTTAGATAGTTCCTATCAGGGGGAGGACAGAGCTTAAATCTGTGTCCTTATCAGTGCAGGCCCTTAACAGAGCTGTCACAAGACGTAAGGAGCGTTTTTTATAGTCTCGTTCCTGTTTATTCAACCGAAATGGGAAAAGGACACTGACTCTTCTGCACTGACCCGAGGAAAGGTCAGTGCAGAAGAGGAAACAGGGAGGGTAAGGCCGGAGGGAAGGACATTCAAGCAGAGAGAGATCAAAAGTAACTATTTGGGGAGAAAGGAGATAGAAGAAGAGAGGTGTTCAGAGCCAGACAAAAGAAAAACAAACATCAAACTCTGTTGCAAAAGTTATTAATGTGTGCTTCTCACTATTCTAAACGTGTCACTTTTTGAACTGATGCTCATTCAGATGTTAATGTCAGCGTGGCAGGAGGCTGCTGCAGGGACTAATCCACTGCGGCTGCTGTCAATAAGAATTAACCAGGAGAAGTGGGTTGCTTTGTTGCAGACAGCTTGGTAACGGAAAGCGCTGTGGACAGACTGACTGAAGCTCCAGACTGACTGAAGCTCCAGGCTGACTGAAGCTCCAGACTGACTGAAGCTCCAGACTGACTGAAGCTCCAGGCTGACTGAAGCTCCAGACTGACTGAAGCTCCAGACTGACTGAAGCTCCAGACTGACTGAAGCTCCAGACTGACTGAAGCTCCAGGCTGACTGAAGCTCCAGGCTGACTGAAGCTCCAGACTGACTGAAGCTCCAGACTGACTGAAGCTCCAGACTGACTGAAGCTCCAGGCTGACTGAAGCTCCAGGCTGACTGAAGCTCCAGACTGACTGAAGCTCCAGACTGACCGAAGCTCCAGACTGACCGAAGCTCCAGGCTGACCGAAGCTCCAGACTGACTGAAGCTCCAGACTGACCGAAGCTCCAGACTGACCGAAGCTCCAGACTGACTTAAGCTCCAGACTGACTGAAGCTCCAGGCTGACTTTCCCTGGAGACTAGGGCTGCTCAATTAATCGTATTTTAATCGCAATTACGATTATGGCTTGCAACGATTACGAAAACAACGTAATCGAAATATAACGATTAACGATTTTTTTCTTATTATTATTAAAAAAAATTTTTTTAGTATTGGTTTTTCAGTTGAGTTATACGGAAGAGGATTAGGGCCACATAATTTTTTTTTAAATGAAAGTCAGAATTCTGACTTTTTTTCTCCCAAAAAAAAAAATGTTTTTTTGTTCTGAGAAAAAAGTCAGAATTCTGACTTTTTTCTCAGAACAAAAAATAATAATATTTTTTTTAAATCCTCACAAAAAATTTGATGTGGCCCTAATCCTCTTCCGTAGAATTATTCTTAAAGTTCAGGGTAATCAACTGTTAAAAACATACTGTTCACATTTGTTTTCTCCAATAAATTGATGTTTTCAAAGTAAATGGATAATCGTTTTTAATAATCGTGATATCAATTATTGACCCAAATAATCAAGATTATGATTTTTGCCATAATCGAGCAGCCCTAGTTTCTAGCAAAACATATTTTAGAGATGACATGAGCAGCCCTACCAGCATTTGCCATGGTGGCCAAAACATTTTTATTTGGTCTTAAATTGTAGTTCAACATTTATTTCCTGTTAATGTTTAACTGAGTGGAATATGTTGAATATGTTTTACCAAAATATTGGCTATATGTTAAGGAGTTTTCAGGTTGTGACAGTGCACTGCAAGATGTTTGTTGATCTTGTTTATTGGTATTTATTATTTTGATATTATTTATTTAAATGTAGATATGAATATATATTTTATTTTATTTTGGTTTTTCAGTTGATTACCATGAACGTATAATTCAACAGTTAAAAAGTTCAAATTATTTTTTGTTTTAAAGTACAATAAATGGATGTTTTCAAAGTCAATGAATAATCGCATTTAATAATCGCAATTACAATTATTGACCCAAATAATCGAGATTATGATTTTTGCCATAATCGAGCAGCCCTATTGCAGACACACGCTGAGCTCCTCTGGGCTGCTGAAAGTGGCCGAGGATGTGCAGCTCACCTTGTTCCTATGAGCTCAGACAAACACCTTCCTCTGACTCTTTGAGCTGCTGTTCTACTTCAAGCTGCTAAAATTATTCACTAACACTTAGGTTTCCTAATGAACTTGTGTGTCTAGGAACCTATTGAGGACTCAGCAGATGAAAAGCAACCAGGTACCTGCAGTTAAACTGGGCTATATTTTTTAAAAGAGAAAGTTATTGTAATGACCTTGGTGATTCCAACATTTGTGTTTCAACTTTGTGGTTTTCTGGACACATTTTGAGCAATGTTAGAGACCGTTGGGCATCAGTCGGACGTCAATTAATCAATCAACTCTTGGGGAAACCACTGCTGTTTAAAGATCTTGTCATAGCCAATGGAGATGCAGATAATGATCCAGGCCAAGATTGGAAGTGTGTTCCAAGATGGTATTTGGGCCAATGCGCTAGCCTTTTTGCTCTACACACCGAGTGTTTGCATGCAACCAAAGTCAGTTCAAAACTATTAGTCCCAATACAAATGAAAACATGAATGCTTCCACCAAAGAAAAACAAATGTGTCCCGCTGCCTACAGATCTGTATTAGAGATTAACTCTTGGATGGATTACCCTTACATTTGGTACAGACATTTTAAAGTACCTGTTTAACATCAAGATGTTAGCATTTAGCTCAAAGCACCACTGTGCCTGAATACAGCCTCATCTTTAGCATGGACGAAGACTCTTAGTAATTGATATTACATCAACACTATCAACTATATTTCAGTATCAGTTATACAAGTTGAAACATGATTATATAAGAACAAAATACTTATTTTTAGTCATTATCTAAATTTAGCCCAGTTTGAGCTCTAACCTGTAAATCACAATTACTTGTCAAAGTAACCTTTTTTTAAAGTGCTTACATTTTACAAATGGAGCATCACAAAAAAAAAAAAATCTGGATTAAGATTGTGACCTCAGAGGTGTACAGATCAAGTAGAGAAGGTCTTATCTGCTAGCAGGAGAATCCTTTGTTTGTAAGAAGGAATCCTATCTGGGGTATTTTGCACATGCTTTGTTTAGACATGCTTTCTAAATGTGGGTTTAACAGCAACACCTTCCTGTTTTGAAATGTTTCACAGTTGACAGTGTAATTTCAGAAAGATAGAGGGGTATTAGATTATCAAGCTGCTATGGAATTTTAACATCAGCTGCTTACGGGTTATTCGGTTTATTTGTAGGAAAACAACGTGTTCCTCTGCAAAGGATAAAAGGTTAAAGTGTTTCCATTTTCTATCTCTTTTGCTTTCCTCTCTTCTCCTCCTCTACTTGTATATCATGTCCCTCTGGAATGAGGCCATCCACCATCGCATCCCACCCTATTTATCCCTCCCTGTGTCCTTGTACAACGCTTATCTCCGGCCCACGCCTTCCTCCTGTCTTTCCATTTCTTTGTTCCCACAGTGAGAAATGATCAGGCCAGAACGCCACCTGATGCCTCGACTCCAGATAAATGAGCTTGGCTTATCAGAGGAAATTCTGTGAGTCCCTCCCTGTACAGTCCTGTACAAAAAAACATCCCTAAAGGCTCCTTCTCCTTTCTAGTTGTGGGTTTGTGAACCCCACCATGTCCTTAAAACCCTATTTACTGACCCTCTTTCTGACCCTTAATTAGTTTAGCTTCTTTAATAGATTTGTTCTCAAAGTAACATTAATCTACCTGATTTACCTGCAAATATGAATCAGTTGAAACATAAATATATGAATTTTTTTAATCATAAATTGTATTATATGGCCTCAGTTGTTATTTAACAACATGAAACTGACAATTTGATGTTGCTACATACACGTCTTGACCTTGAGATAATGAAACTGCTTTGCTGCAACATTTTAGTGTAAATGTATTATCACCAGACTTTCAGAAGACAGTTTTTTAGTTGTGCCTTTGTTTTGTTTTTTATAGAAATCAAAATGAACATCATTCTCTATGATTGTTTGTATCTTCTGTCTTATGATGCTGAGGTGTTTTCCTTTCTTCGTGAACATCTTTTTTAAGTCAGGTTGACTAAATCTACCTTAGTATTAGTAATCTATATTTCCATTATGAGTTTAAGTGGTCCTACTAGGCTTTTTGGGTTCTGCTGGCCAGCCCTCCAACACATTGTACATGATAGACTAAGCAGTTGACCAATCACGACAGAGCCAGCCAGCTAACCAATCAGAGCAGACTGGGCCCTGGTTTCAGACAGAGGGCGAACAGAGGTGTTGCAGCACAGGCAGCATGAGAAAAATAAAGACCTTTTTGAACATTAAAGCATGGAGACATGTCCCAGTAGAGGCACAACATACAAATATGAGAATGAGCAGAATATGTCCTGTTTTAATTGCCTCAAGTATTTTTGAAAGTTAGCATGTCTGTCAGATTCACCAGCAGGGGGCACTTGACTCTCAGATGAACCACTTATCTCTACACGATAGTTAACATGCCCTGTGCTGATGCTTTCTAGTGTGAGGGCCTGAGAGGAGGGGAGGGCGAAACATGGGGGCATGAACACCAATTAAACAGTGACTGCACAACAGGAGGGGGAACTAAAAATAACACCGTCCCCCGTGCTTCAGCCCACGCCTGAGAGAGTGCAAGATACCAGACAGACACTGACACTGCGCTGTGTGCTCCCACACAGGGGTCACCTATCTGATCTTTGTCTTTTTTGCACGATTGTGGATCTATAATAGTTTGTTCCATCTTGAGGAGTAATCTACGTGTTTGTTAAAAAGGAGGCATGTCGGGTAAAGATGAATTATCACGCTGGTATGTTCCTCCTAAATCTGAAACACATTAACTTTGTTATGATCCTTCAAACACACCATCGCTATCACAAATCTGCTTTGTGTGGGAGACAAAGGATTTAGAGCCGAGCACTTTGTAAGTACACATGCTAGAAAAAAACTCCCATGTTATCAGACGTTATCACACCTGTGTGCTCCTTTCTCTGACGTCATCTGGATCTCTGACAGCAGGTTTATGAGAAAACTATTACGGAAAGTGAAGGCGTCGCCATGACATGAAGGAATGAGATACAAATGGGTCATTGGGGTTTATCCCACACTCACCTGGAAGGAGAAACTGGAAGGGGAAACTGTGCTCGCCTGCCACCAGGGTTCCTGTAAGAAAAATGTTTATTAGCTACACAGGACAAACTAATGCAAATGACATTCAAGGGTGCAAGTATACTGATCATTCTCAGGGTTTGTGTGTGTATGATGGGGTTTATTTCCATTCCTATATCCCTCAGTAAACATCAGCTGTCCTGTGGGGGATGGGGTTTCTCACACAAACAGGCTTTGTTTACCTGAGCCGTAAGGTCTTTTGTACTGAACAAAACTAGCGACTGAAACTTGCCAGTGTCAGAGGAAGTGATAAGCTGTTGGCAAACACATGTAGCCGGCAAAGTTGGAGCGTTTCTCAGCAAAGTGAATCAATGATTTACAAGCAGTGGGGCCAGCAGGTATCGACCCAAGACTGAGTGCATTCTTCTGCTCTACGGGGGGTCACTATGTACCAAGAATACCCGTATAGATTCAAGGATGTGTATGTACATAGATGAAAGCCTGGTTTTATTATACATTTTCCTTATTGACATCAAATCCAAGAAGAGGACTAAACCAACAACCCTGTCAACCCTCACTGTGGCACTTAAGTCGAGGTGTATTGGTCCTTAAACTGGTCACAAACTAAACAGTTCTTAAAAAACAAACAAACAAAAATCTCTATATCAAATAATAAAACAAAAACAATCCTATGTTGGCTTTGGATATACCAGTAAATATTAGCATCAGTTCTTTGTAGGTTATTTTCAGATTTTAGATTAGTTAACAATAAGGAAACTAAAGACTCAATCAAGTGACTGGGGAAAAGGAAAGCTTGCAAACTATGTAACTATTACTGATGTTATGTGTTTTCATTCTGACGATCTCAACACAAAGTGCTCTGAAGTATGAAAAGGTGTTTTGCTGTTAAAAGCATTCTCTCTGAATTTGTACTGCATTAACATCCATCCATACTGTAAGGAAGATTGCTAATCCTTGTTGAGAGGAGCATAAGGCACCAATGAGGAACACCTTGAGAGAGTGGGGTTATTAATTCTCTAGATGAGCTGACAGCCCAATTAAATTCTCCCTGACAGCAACATGTCTCACCTCATTAGGGACGGGCACCACTTTTTCCATTAGTCTCAGTTTCCTGAGGGGAAGCGCTCAGACCGTGTGTTCATTTGCATCGTGTTTACTGCTAGAAGAAGCAGTCATGCTCTAAAAAAGCACCATGCAGGTGTGCAGACACTTTATATATTCAACTGCAGAGAGACTAGCTGACATGGGTACGGGCAGAGAATCAAGATGAAGGACAATTATTAAAGTGTGCATCTAGACCGGGTGACGACAATACCTATTGACGCAGCAACCACTGTAAGTTATATTCTTGTTTAATTAGACTTCTCTGTTTCATTTATTCTACTCTGTATAATTGTTCTGTAGTTATTGTAGCTAAAACGGCGCTTTTGAGAGATTTTAAATCTCAGATCTGCTCAAGTGAACCTGTTACACAGGTCTCAGTAGGGGCACTCAAGCCTGCATTACAATATAGGCAGGGCCAGTCTGCTGTCGCCCATCAGCTGTAGAGAGTTAACTAATTAGAGGGGCGTGGCCCCACAGCTGTGAGAACTCAGCAATCAGGCGTCCATTATAGGTAGCTCTTTCCTGGAGCGTCAGCTTTAGCGTCAGACAGCCGAAGACTGACAAAGACATTGGAGTCCTACTGGAGTAAGACTAACAAAGACATTGGAGTCCTACTGGAGTAAGACTAACAAAGACATTGGAGTCCTGCTGGAGTCACGAGGGAGGCAAAGAGGAGGCAAATCCTACTCTGATTCAGCTAATTACCGCTGGTGTCTTATCTCTCTTTTCTTTAGTTTTCTAACCCCTCAGGCTATAATCATGTGTATTTTCTCCATTCCTGTTCATGTGTCTTCTCGCAATTATCACTGGCCCCGTGTATCTCCTAATCGCTATAACCGGCCTGCTCTCATCTATCCCACGTGCTCCACTGAGATCCAACATCTAGTTTCCGGTGGCCTGTGGAACTGCCAGTCAGCTGTTCCTAAGGCTGACTTCATCTCTGGCTACGCCTCCCTGCAGTCCCTGGATTTCCTTGCTCTCACTGAGACCTGGATTACTCCATTCAACACATCCACCCCAGCAGCTCTCTCCACAGCATATTCCTTCTCCCATACACCCAGACCAACTGGCAGAGGAGGTGGCACTGGTCTCCTGCTCTCTCCCAAATGGAGCTTTTCCCTCTTCAAGCTACCTAACTTCACTCCTTCCACCTTTGAATTCCATGCCGTCACAGTAACCCATCCTATACAATTAACCATTGTTGTTCTCTACCGTCCACCAGGCGCCTTGGGGGACTTCTTGGAGGAATTAGATAATCTCCTCTCACACATCCCTGAAACTGGCCCTCCCGCTGTACTTCTCGGAGACTTCAACCTCCAGACAGGGAAGATGGTGGAATGAGCTCCCCATTGACATCAGGACAGCAGATAGCTTGCACATCTTCCGGCGCAGACTGAAAACTCATCTCTTTCGACTCCACTTCGAGCGATAGAACTATTAACAAAGCACTTATATACTAATAAAGGACTGGCTTATCTAAAGCCAGTTGAGTAGCACTTGAAATGTTTGGCTCTATGAAACCTGATGTACTTATATGATTCTGTTTTCTTCAAGGTTGTGTCTTCCTGGTCGAATGTACTTATTGTAAGTCGCTTTGGATAAAAGCGTCAGCTAAATGCAATGTAATGTAATGTAAAGAGGGTAGATTACATTATATATTATATAGAGCAAGCTGTCAGAGATTCAGATCCACTCTGAAATGTGGATTTAAAAATGGAACACATTTCCACTAGATTCATGTAAATCAGGTCATTACTTGTTTAGATATCCTGCTGACAGACAGAACTGGAAACATACCCGCCCTGGAGGAGGTACAAATACAGCACTGTCATATTTTAGTTTCTTACAGCCTTCAACAAACAATCTTCCCTACAAGCCCTACACTTTCTTAGGTAAAATGTCAACAACTGAAAAGGGAGAAACATTAGGAGCCTTAGCTTAAGCAAGATGTATGTAAAAAAAAAATGGACAATACTCTAGAAAATGGTAAATGGAATGTATTTATATAGCACTTTATCCAGTGTTTACGACCCCTCAAAGCAGTTAGCTAACATTCACACACCGTTGGCCATGCCATCGGGATACATTTTGGATTAAGTATCTTGCCCATGGATATGTCGACATGTTGACTGCAAGGGCTGCAACCTTCACAAAAAATATACGTTTTATATATGAAGTTGCTGTTGGTATTTATTTAGTTTAGTTTAGTTTTTATTTCTCATATATATATATATATATATATATATATATATATATATATATATATATATATATATATATATATTAGTAACACGTTTTTTCGAAAAGGATACTGAACTTGTGGTATATATGATGGTATATATTTGTATAATTATATATTTTTTTGTAAAAACAAAGAAATGCTGTCTCTGCAGATATGTGTAAGGCATCATCAACAGATAATACCAAACATAGGAAATGCAACAGGGTGTCGCTCATGTATTATTTAAAGATATATGTCAGTTTCTAGAGTTTAACCACAGCCCAGCTGCGGCAGTGGGAGGGGGATTCTCATTTCCTGAAGGTCATTAACTGCCAACAGTGACAGGATGGAGAGCGGCCGCTGACATCACTCCTCTAACCGCCAAGCATCTGTGGCATTCCACATTATCAGTCAGCCACAGTGAGCGTGGCTGGCTTTGTGTGTGCGTGTGCGTGTGCGTGTGCGTGTGTGTGTGTGTGTGTGTGTGTGTGTGTGTGTGTGTGTGGTGGTCTACTGTCACCCTTCCTGTCTCGCTCTCCCTGTGCCGCTCCGCCCTTGGGGGCAGAGCAGCCCATTTTCGGAAGAGTATGGGATACGGAAAAAATGGCAGAGATAAAGGGGAGCACAGAGGGAGGGTGTGTAATGAATTATTTATGTCCTCTTTTTAGAGCGTGGTGTGCCGGTGTTTTACAGTGTACTCTGTGTGCTCAGATAGGGAAATACTTTTTCTCTCGCTTCAATGGTACTTAAAAACGTGGTATATATGGTGGTATTTATATAGTTGAACTTATTTATTTGTGTCATATGTATTAATAAAACGTGTTTGCTTCAAGGACCCTGACAATGTGGTTTATATGGTGGTATTTATTTAGTTGAATTTCTTTTTTATTCCTTTTTTATTATTAAAAAGGTTTTGCTTCAAGGATAATCAAGATGTGTTTTATGGACTTGTATATTTACTTGAATTTATCATGATACTTAAAATGTGGTACATATTTAGTAGATTTTTTATCTCGCAGGTTTTTGCACTCCACTACGTCTTATACTGTAGACTGGTTAGTTATTTCACATTTTCATGCCACCATTTTTATGAGAATGCCAAACATATCTCAGTTTTCAATCCAAAGATCCTTTTCAGATAAGATATACTGTATATATTGATGGAGCTGTTTACTATATTGATTTATACTGACCTTTTTGAACCCTATATAAATAAACTTGCCAGCAGATAATGCATCTTTTCTAAAGAGTTACACAATAACTACTAACATGTAAATGTATTTTCCAGCTTGTAGTATTAACATATAGAGTGGTGTATTCCACATATGGAAGCTCACAGTCCTGAGAGTTAAACATGAACTGCCTCTTGATGTTTTAACCATCATGGATTACATGCTCCGATGAGTGCCATTAGGTCCCACAGAGAGATTTGCATTTACAACACATTTCATGCATGCATGGCACATTTCACCTTCTGGCTGTGTATCGGCAACAAGAACAAAAGATGGAAGATCACGCTCGCAACAACAGGCCCTGTAAGCCCTCGCTTCCGCTGGTCAGCAGGGCATCACTGAGGCCGGGCCTGACTGCCCAGAGACGGGGGGGATAAAACCTGTCACCTGTGGAGCGTGTTCAACCTTCTGATCAGGCACAGCCGGACACTGGGGCCCTGGCTGTGATCGAATAAAATAAAATAATAAAAGTTCTGATGTGTTTTTTGAACAGCTTTTTCCTTTATCACAGTGCAAAGTGTCATGGTGTTAAAGAGGCCCAATTATGCTTTTGGGGGATTTTCCCTTTCCTATAATATGTTCTATAGATTTTCTAGAAGACATTTCCAACACTTCCTAGGCGGTTGACCAATCACCACAGAGCCGGCCAGCTAACCAATCAGAGGAGACTGGGCCCTGGTTTCAGACAGAGGGTGAAAAGAGGAGCTGCAGCACAGGCAGGATGAGAAAATGAGCAGAATAGGGCCCCTCTAAATGTTGCGGCTGCAAGGACTTGTGGGACAGCATTATCTTGTTTCCTTTCGTAAAGGATGGTCCAGTAAATATTCTAAAAGAGATAACTATCTTCTACTATCTAGAGAATTGGAACAGCTCCGATCATGGCTGCCTCTTAGGTACTTCTGAGTCATTTCACTCTGATAGGAACCTTCCAAAGCTGAAAAGACAATTCCACCGCAATCCAAGTCTGACCTCAGAGAGTGCGGCTGCAGCATGACTGCAGGAGAATGCTGCTGTGACTGATTGAGGCTTTAACTCCTCACTACATGGCTGCAAAAACCTGCTGCTGCCTTTTTGAGATTAAGCCTGTTGCAGCAGATTTCCCCACTGAGGCGATTCAGTCACGTCATACAGTATTGTTAAAACAGGAAGCTTCCAAAATGTAATTTCTCTCAGAGGAGACGTATCTGTGGCTGCGTTTCACTTCGGTTAAATGGATTCCTTGCGTCCCTCACTTGCGTCGTTTCCCTGCGACTAGTCCCTCCCACCAAGGAAGCATGGAGAGACGATGGTGGTTCCTTGATTATAGCTCCTCGCTCCTCCGGCAAAAATAAGGCCATTGGGACGCTACTCAAGATGGCGCAGACAAATCAACTTCCGGTGAGACCGAGACCGAGGAGCGAGGAAATGAAAAATAAGAGAAGTGAAACGCAGCCAAAGAGTTTAAAGGATGCAAGCTGAGGACTTGCAGTCACATGCAAATAAAGGTGATGTGCTGTTAAAGGACCAGTGAGTGCGCTTAAGACCTTCCTTTTTGATAAAGCTTATAGTTAGGGCTGATTAGATTCAGCCCCTAGTTTTGCTGATATAGGCTTAGTTTGTCGGGGGACATCTTACTTCTTCCTTCTCTCTGTCTATACCTGTGTACTCTCATGTTCCGATTAACCCAGCTTCCCCAAATGTCTTTCTTTTTGGTGTCTACGCCGGGATCCGGAGTCATGGATGATCCTGCGGTCCTGTGTCCTGGATCGCGAGCCCTGGATCTTGAGTCGTGGCTGTGGTCCTGGATCATAGGTCCTGGATGGATATCCTCGTGGATTCATCTTCCTATTATACACACATGCATTTCCAAACATTTGGACTACCTATGTTGCAAATGTATTATCTTTTCAATTTACACACGGCATCTATTGCACGTCTGTCTGTCCTGGGAGAGGGATCCCTCCTCTGTTGCTCTCCCTGAGGTTTCTCCCATTTTTCCCTTTAAACTGTGGGTTTTCTCCGGAAGTTTTTCCTTGTACGATGTGAGGGTCTAAGGACAGAGGGTCTAAGGACAGAGGGTGTCGTATTGTCATACTGATATTCTGTACAAACTGTGAAGACCACTGAGACAAATGCAACATTTGTGATATTGGGCTATATAAATAAACATTGATTGATTGATTGATTGATGTCAACAACACTTATGTAAGATTCCCGTTTTTGTAAAATAATGAGTTTTTTTGTTTGACCATTAATGGCATCATAAAGATTTTTTTTTATAATAATACATTTGCTATGGAGATGCCTTTCACTACACCCAAGGACATTGCACAATTAATGAAATACTCTAATAGGCTGAAAACAGCAAAACATGTTTGAATTCTCTCTACTTATGCTATGACTGTGCTCTTTTGATAGATGTGCGTACGGGACTTTTTTATTGCGTGTAAAAAGAAGGTAGTGGGTATAATGTGGCAAGAGCAAAAAAAACTTGTTGGTGTTCAGAGGGTTAAACTATATAAAAGTGAAGGAAGATCTAGAGTTCAAACAATTCTATTAATTGGGAATGTTTATGCACCAAATCTGCACAACACGTACACATATTTCTGAGATAATTAGGATTACATGTGAAGCTTGTGCATTAACCTGTGTGTTTAGATGAAGATAATGAGCAGACAAGCTAATAAAAATTAAAAAAAACAGTTGTCACCTTTGTCAGCAATAGACAGCGTGCTGTTGAAGTACTGCTCCTCCAGAGCCCACGTGGCTTCGTTCATTTTGGTGGAGATCCCACATGATCCCTGACAGTAGACCTTGATGGCTGCGGAGAGAGGAGAGGAAATGAGTCATTCCACCGTCTGGCCCTTTACATGTTCACTGGGATTCTTTCACCGACATGTTCTGATTGGTCTGACAAACAAAAATACTTTATATGAAAAAACCTTTTGTTACTCTGGTTCATTTGTCAAACTGTCTCCTGAGGTGACGAGTTGCATTTGGTATTTCTGAGTGTTTTTCTGAGCATGTTACTGAAAACAATTCACAGTCATTTTCCTTCGCTATCCTGGGAACACTTATCATTTCATTTGGTAAGAGAAACAATGATTCTCTGGTGTCAGTTTGGGCACAGCAAGCACAATATACAGCGATTAGCATGAGAATGTCTCACAGGGACCCCTCCCTTAATCATGGTGGGCCTCTGGAGCTCGTCATGTGCATTCTGCTGCAGTGCTGGCTGTGAATGGGCTTCTGACAGCAGATGGAGGAGAGGAGGAGGAGCTACTTTATCTCAGAGCTGTTGTGAAATTCAGGAAGTTACTGCTTTGGATTATAACACTGATTGTTAGTCACCTGTAACGCCGTGCTACAGCTGAGTTTTACTGCGGGTGACGATGGTGCTCAGGTGGTGCAACAGGTTAGACAAAGCTGAGGTCATATCAAGATAACTGTTGATACAGAATCAGAGACGTAGACAGGTCCATATTGTAGTCCCAGGAAGTCATCAAGGAGATAAACTGAGTGGCTTCCAAGTAAAACAAAAAAAAGATTCAACTAATTTAATATTATAAGACAATTTATACGGAAAAAGTCAAATAAAAGAAGGTCAGTAGAAGCAGGGGGGCAGAAAGAAAATAGCCCTCCTGTGAGTTATCAAATGTCATCTTTTTGGTTCAAAAACCTCCAATATTATGGTGAAATACCTACTAACTTTATGAAAGATGAGTTTCAAAACATATACACAATCACAATAATGTCAAGCAGGGATGAGATAATGAAACAATACCAGGAAATGACCATATTTGAATGTTAAACTAAAGTAGGTGACAACAAGCTTTCTTTGTTTATTTCTATGATTTGTACAAATATTTGTGGTTCATAATGTAGCATGTTAACAAAGAAACACATGGAGAAATAGGGAGTATCCTCATTACGAGTCAATGCAGAGTTAGAGACATCTGAATGATCCAACGATCAAACAGATAGCATCAGTCTTTTGTTACACAACGACTTTTACAATTTCACACAGGTGCTGAATATGTTCCATGACGAACATCAGCACACACACACACACACACACACACACACACACACACACACACACACACACACACACACACACACACACACACACACACACACACACACACACACACACACACACACACACACACACACACACACACACACACACACACACACACACACACACACACACACACACACACACAACACACACACACACACACACACACACACACCACACACACACACACACCACACACACACACACACACACACACATTCCTAAAGCAATGCTGCTAGAAGGCTTACAATCTGTTATTGCAGCCATGATATTAAGCTACAACATTATATTGATGCAGAAATCAAGTAAATCCATTACTTTGTTTGCTCATTTATGAAAGAACAAAATCAACAAAAGGGTACACATTCTGGTATGATCAGAAATAATCTACAAACAGGCTCTGTTGTAAATGTATCACACCTCAGACTGACCAATCACAGGCCCATGCAGTATCCTGTGCTGGCATCACACACTCTCTCTCTCTCTCTCTCAAAGTGGCAGATGGCTGGGCTCTACACAGCGGCACGACGGTTGGCACAGTTTAAGGGAAGAGGTAAAACCGAAAAAATAGTCCAGCTCTAAAAAATACTCACAAAACCGAATGGTGCCCTTCAGCCATGCAGACTAACGTCCATTCATTTGGTCATTAACTACACACTGCAATCTGCCTCTCCAGCCATCTGCCTCATTCATGATTGAGAGTGATATCTTTATACTCAGTGCTTGAATTGGAATGAAAAAGGTGCCAGTACTCTAAAATCAGCAACTTTTTCAAGTCAATTTTATATATACAGCCCACAAACAAGAATTTGGCTACTATTTGGTGGGTTTGTCTCTTTACTACTGTATATTTTAGAAAGGTTCACTGTACTTAACATTTTTTATGATAGGCAGCGGATATGGCTAAAGCTCAGTAAGGTCAATATTAACTGAAAATATAGCAATCAAAGTCTAGATCTTCTGCTGAAGACACATGAAGCAGAGACCTTTCAGGTGAGAGCCCCTCTGGTGGTGTTCAACATTAATGACAAGGAAACAAAGCTCTGGTCAGAAGCATTTTTTATAAAAAGCTTTAACAAAATTAAGTATTTCTGTACATTTGAATGCAATCTAACTTTCCAACTCAGAAAACGAAAAACGAAAAAGTGCCAAAAGTCTTCTCACATGGCTGAGCTGCTTTGCAATATACTTCACCACTGAAGAATACAAATATGTATAAAGTAAACTATGATGCAATCTAACTTTCCAACTCAGAAAAATGATAAAGAGCATGAACAAAGAACATGTAAAAACAAATGCAAAATGTGCACAATCTAAAATGAGAAACTGTAACTGCAAGTAACAAAGTCTGAGCCATGGTAAAGAGTTACATTGAACACCAAGCTGATCAGATAACTCCCTGGTTGGTCTGAAGTCCTTCTATCTCCAGGATCTGTACAAATCGGCACATTATGCCAAAAGTCTTCTCACTGGGTGAGCTGCTTTGCAATATACTTCACATTGTTAGAAAAGGCTCCAGAAGGCCTTGGGGACATCAGTATCAGGGGCTGGAGCTGGACAGGCTCTTTCATCAGCACTTCTCCTTCCCTTTGCCAGCCAGGACCTCACATACTGTTCCGGATTGAACTGTCCTAGTGATGGTCCATTACATTTAATGAAAACCAGGCTGGACAGTCGGCTGACAGAGAGAGCATTCCTTTTTGCAGTAAGGATATCGTTCATGCAGCTGAATGCCCGCTCACACTCACTAGTGGAGACAGCGATGGTTCGGACTGCTTTCAGTAGAGGCTCCATGGCAGCAGGTGTACGGGATGCCCTGGTTTCCTTGTATTCGCGAAAGCCCTGAACAGTCTCTCTTCTGTCCACTTTCAGCACTTCGCACAAACGTAGCACCTCTACGTCCCCATACTGTACGTCTAACTCCTCTTCAGGCCAACTTCCAGGATGGATAACTTTCATGTCCTGGATTAGCTGATTGTCCCGGGCCTCCCGGCCATGTAATGGGATTTCTCTTGTGCTGACATGAGAGGAGGTTGTGGAAGTCATTCTGTGTCTCAGATTCTCTACCATACTGCGGAAAAACTGACCTGCATGAATCTGTACAAGCCTGCCATTCTCATGCAGGGCAACACCCTTGAAGGACTTCTCAGCTAGAGCTGTATGAACTGTAGTCATGTGTGGGCCAGGCATGGTGACCATGGATTCAAAAACTCGTATTTCTCGAGTTAAGAGCCTATCTGCTGTAGGCAGTGTCATCTCTCTTTTTTGGAGTTGCCGAGAGAGGTCGCTGAGCTCTGTGAGCGCATCGTACATCAGTCCCAGATTGCTGACAAACGTTGCAGATGTGAGCACATCATCCAGGCCCTTGTACTTTGCTCTGTCTCTGGAATCCCTGCTCGTGTCGTTTGCAGCATTTGTGAAGTGATCATGAAGCACTCGGTAGTTTTCCCAGACTGCTCTGACGCTCCTTTCACTTGAAGCCACCCAGCGGATGGACAAAACACGCCCTATCACCAGGAGACGCTGTCCGACTGCTTGCGCACACTGCGCTAACTGCCTCTGATTTTGGGGGAGGCATGGAACAAGGAATAGAGTTTGTCAAAAAAGATCTGGAAATGATTGAGCCCTGAGACCTCCTTGACCACATCCCCAACTGCCAGCTCTAGACGATGATTGGAGCAGTGCCACACAAACAGGCTTGGGAATTTACTACACAACTGGGTAGCAACGCCTGTTCTCTTCCCTAGCATGACTGAAGCCCCATCACATGCAAAAGAAACGAAACACTGACCTAAAAAGTCCTCGTTAAAATCTCTTCCAAGACACTCCATTAACGCCTTTGTGATGTCATCAGCCGTTGTTCCATCCAACTCGATCAGCTCCCAAAAAAACGTTTCGGGCTCAGCATCAGCTAATGCTGAGCGTAGACACACAACAAGCACCGTTTTACCACTAATAGTGGTAGATTCATCGACCAAAACACAGAGTTTTCTTTGGTTTTCTGGAATGTCTTTTGCCATTTTTTTCTTCAGCTCATGAGCTATGTGGTCGATGATTTCGCCACAGGTTTTATTGGAGTGCAAAACCCTGCCCACGTTCAGCCCATTCAGTTTCTGTACATTCAAATCAATTGGCATGTCTGTGAATGGCCGGCTATGTTTGCCAATTTTATATGCCGTTCGAAAAACTCTAATAGTGGTGTCTAATTCAGATTTATGCATAGACTGCACTTGATGTTGAATAATTTCACATGAAGCAGATGTAAGGATGTCAGCAGCTTTTACATGGGCTTGTGATTCTTTATGTTCTTTGATTTTTTTTCTCAGGCTAGCTTGTTGTTTGCCCTTGTCAACACCGAAATGAGACACTGCACACTCACCCCATTCAGTTGACAGTTTCAGTCCTTGTCCAGTGTGTATTCCCAAAGATTTGACATCTCTGCATATCCGACATCCTAGCTTCTTATCTTTAAGAAGGAGCCATGCATTGGTCTTGCAAAAATATTGCACCTGGTCCGTTGTCCAGCAGTCAGGTGCATCGCTTTGCCCGGTGTTGGTGGTGGCAGTTGCGCCAGCAGCAGCTAACGTTAGAGGCTCTGGAGGAGGCGGCGGAGCTAGTGCTAATGCTAATGCACTAGAACTTGGAGCAGGAGGATCAACCAAAGAAAGCTCCCCATCAGACACAATTTCCAACACAGGCACAGCATTCTCTGTATTTGAAGTTTCTTCCGGCGACAA